CATGAAACAGATCAGCAGCAACATGAAACAGATCAGCAGCAACATGAAACAGATCAGCAGCAACATGATGTGATTTTTCACAGCGATTATTCTGGTTAGAGATTCATGAGTCTAACAGCCTCAGGGTAGAAGCTGTTCCTCAGTCTAGTGGTTCTACACTTAATGCTCCTCAACCTCCTTCCTGAGGGGAGTGGGGCAAAAAGTGTGTGTGCTGGGTGAGTGTGGTCCTTCATGATGCAGGTGGCCCTCTTCCTGCATCTGGAGGTGTAGATGTCTGTGATGGTGGGGAGACTGACTCCAACATCTTCTGTGCAGCCTTCACCACTCTCTGCAAAGCTTTTCTTTCTGCAGCTGTGCAGCCTCCATGCCACACATTGATGCTGGAGCACAGGATGCTCTCCACTGCACACCTGTAGAAGGAGGTGAGGACTGAGCTTCCAGACCAGCTCGTCTCAGCCGCCTGAGGAAGTAGAGTCTCTGATGATCTTTCTTCATCAGGCTGGTGGTGATGTTGCTCCAGCTGAGGTTGTTGTTCAGGTGCACACCCAAGTACCTGTGGGTACTTGGGTAATGTGGGGAGACAAGCTTTAACTAACACTGTGGAAAGAGGGTCAAGCTGGCAGGTGGATGATTTTGATTTATGAATAATATTTGTTACGTCAGATATGGAAGGAAGAGTGAAACTTGAGAGTAAATGACAGCAGGGCAGCGGGGAAAACAGGGGGTCAGCTTCAGTGTTAGGAGCTCTTACAGGGTTAAGTTGTTGTTGGATACTGGACATTTTGTCAGTGACAGAGGACATGAGAGGGTTGCAAAAGTCAGCAGAGTACATGTGGGAGGGAAATGAGTCCGGAGGCTTAGTCATTTTGACAAACAGTGAAAACAGAGACTTGGAGTTACCTTCGTTAGAACTGATTAAACCAGAGTAGTATGCAGATTTAGCTGAGACAATGCAGTCCTTATGAAACAAAATATGATTGTTGTACATTTCTTTGTGTATAGTGAGTCCAGTTTTTTTGAACAGGCGTTCCAGTTGGCGTCCCTTGGCTTTGAGAAGACGCAGGTTGAACGTAAACCATGGTGCTGAACGAGAAAATGAAACAGATCTGTGTTTGAGTGGAGCAAATGTGTTAAGAAGGTTTTGGAGGTTGACATTATAGTAGGAAGTGAGTTCATCAGGGCTTGAAGAGCAGTGAATAGACGGAAGGTCAAATAAAGCAGATGAGAAACTGTCAGGATCAATATCATTAATTTTCCTAAATGTAATGTCACGAGGAGTACAAGTTTTCAAAGCTATTATATTTACATCAAAAGAAATAAGCATATGATCAGAAGTGGGAAACAGATTGTCTTTGCAGTGAGTAGGGGTGACCCCAGAACAACAAACCAAATCCAGAATATGACCTTTAGAACGAGTGGGGAATTTGATGTATTGCTGGAGTCCAAAACTATCCAGACAGGAAGTCAAGTCTCTGGTGAGAAGGTCATTGTCATTGTCCATGTGAATATGAATTTGTAAAGACGTAGTGTGAACACAATGTATATCAATCATTCAACCTTTATTTCTACAGGTAAATCCCATTGAGCCTCGAGGACTCATTTACAAGAGAGACCTGATTTAACAAAGAACGATGACAACAATGGACAACAGCAACAACAATAAACAGTTATAAAAAGTCATACTGGGCAGCACGGTGGTGCAACTGGTAGAGCTGCTGCCTCTCAGCGAGCAGGTCCCCGGTTCAAACCCCGGTCCAGGGGCCTTTCTGGGTGGAGTTTGCATGTTCTCTCCGTGCATGCGTGGGTTTTCTCCGGGTACTCCGGTT